CTAAATCACCTTCTTGGAAGTGAGCAGGCTTGCGATGCTTGTTGGCTTGCTCAATCATTTGAGTCTGGGCTTTCTTAATATTTTCTTTGACTTTTGCAATATCTTGTTCATACAAAACTGCAAATTATCGGGTTCCTGGGACAACCTTTGGATCTGGTCCCGATAGGCCTTTCACGTTGCCAACCTTTATGTGTTTCTGTGTGAGCACTGTTATTACATGTAGTAGCTATCTTAGACAGGTTTTCATCCCAATCCACTTGGTTTGGTGTCAAATACATGTGCAAGTTGTTGGCACAATTTATTCACGACATGGTTAGTCTGGTGTCATAGACACTCGTCAACTTCTGCTACTATTCCCCAATGAATCTTACATCTCTATCAGATACGATAGTCCTAGGAAACCCATACTCGGAAACCCATCGCATCTGGAATTTTTGGACGAAGAGTTCACTTTTAGCTTCAACAGATAACGATTGACAATGACCATCACTTGACTATTCTCATTCCAACTCCTGGTGAGATTCATGAAATCGTTAGAGATAGACTCATCTGGTCTGTTGGGGATGGGAAGTGGTCTCAATTGAGATTCATGACATCGTTAGAGATAGACTCATCTGGTCCGTTGGGGATGGGAAGTGGTCTCAATTGTCCAAGTGGATTCTCATGAGACGGCTTGTTCCTTTAGCACACAAGACAAGTTCTCATGTATGTTAATGTGTTTTCTTCCATTCCTTGTCACTCCAACTATTTCCAAACGTTAGCAAATGTTTCCTTGAAGCCAAAGTGACCTTCAGTCACGTAACATTTATACCCAAAATCAAGCTCTTCACTGCTTCGTCGCAGGGAACGCAAACTCGCTGCCCACTTTCGTCTATCAAGAAGAGTATGTCATCGATCATCTTATAGTCTGGAAAACGTTCGGGGTTTCGTTTTCAGAGACTCTATCATAGGTTACCATATTTTGTTTTAGCGCACCCATCTATGATTTTATCTTTCAATTCGCTTCCCATATCATGGTAAGTTACGATAGTTCCAAAGAAGTCAGATCTACGGAAGAGCGTCAGCTACCACATTGTACTTCAACTCCAAGTCAAAGGTATATATGATAGCAGACCATCACGGTAGTTTACCAGACAGTCGTGGTTGTGTTTTGAGCCACTCTAGTGTCTTATGGTCGGAGTAGACCTTGAAGTGTCTGCCCAACAAATAATGCTTCCACGTTGTTAGCGTCTGCAAACAACTCTCTCTCATAGGTGGAGTTAGCCACTTTCTCATAGGGTAGGTGCCAAGACATAAACTTAATCGGTATGTACCCCTTACCATCATTTCGCTGAAAGACCGCACCGATCCCATACTGATTGGCGTAAGTGGTGACGACAAACAAAAATGAGGGATCACCAATTTTTAGAACAAGGTAGTGAGTCTGCAATACTTCAATTTTTTAAACGACGACTCACATCTTTATCCCATAGCCAAACAATACCCCTTTTCAGTAACCTCCTAATTGGGGCTGCTATACTGGAGAAGTTCCTCACGAACTTCCGATAGTGGCCTGCCAATCCTAAAAAGGAGCACAGTTCAATTAGGTTCTTGGCTTAGACCAATCCCTGATTGCAACAATTTCTCTCATTTTTGGGCTTAGTCCATCTTCGTTTACGACACCTCCGAGGTATAAAACTTTGGATTTTGCAAACTCTGATTTTTTGGGGTTCAACTTGAAGTTACCCTCGCGGGACTTCTGCAAGACCATTCACAGATGCTCCTCATGGTCGTCCAACGTCTTGTTGTAGGCGAGAATGTCGTTGAGATACATAAGTACGAACTGATCGAGCCACTCACGAAAAAGTTCATTCATAGACCGTTCAAAGGTTGCAGGGGCGTTTGTATTACCAAAGGCACGACTATGAAATCATAATGACCATACCCCGTTCGAAACACCCTCTTGTGTTGATCCTCAAGGGGCACCTCGATCTGATGGTAGTCTGACTTCATATCGATCTAACTGAAAAACTTACAACCCTGAAGTCGGTTAAGCAAATCATCAGTCCGAGAGGAGGTTCCACAGTTACGGAGTTCTTTCCTCGGTAGTGGATGCACAATCTGAGCTCACCTTCCTTTTTAGACACAAAAAGTACTGGTGCACCATATGACAAGAAACTCGGCCTAACTCATCATTTCTCAATAAGTTTATGCAATTTTTTCTTTAACTCTTCCAATTCCCGTGGGGACATGTGGTAGACCGGTCCTTTGGGAATCTTACTATCAAGAATAATCTCAACTGTGTGTTTTATAGTTTTCTCAATAACTCCTATAGGTTTAGTTTGTCGGTCCTTAATACTCACAAAAAAGTTTCTCAATAGGAGGGTAGGAAGTTGAACACTCGCCCACATTCTTGACAAGTACCATCATCACTTCCTGTGCCAACTTCTTCTTCGTTATCATACTTCGAAAGACAGGTAGACTCATGCAGCAAAAAAACAGTGATGAGTCCGATCCAAACTTATGAAATAACTTGATTAATTTAATTTCTTGTTTTTCATTTCTTAATTTAACAATCTTCTCTTTATACCTGATATATGGGCCAGCCTCCTCGTAATCAAATTAGAAATGTTACCTCATGCAAAATTTCTCCCTTCATGAGTTTTAAAATAAGATTTCATATCTTCCACATAATGTGAGGCTGTTATGGTGCTTTGTCAAATAAGATATGTTACCTCATGCAAAATTTCTCCCTTCATGAACTTTTAAAATAACATTTCATATTTTCGAGCAATGTGAGGCTGCTATGGTGCTTTGGTTTGCTAGCATTGACACGACAGGCCTAGGCAACTTTTTGACCCTCATCACAAGATATATCTTCTGAATGGTTTTCTTTGATATATAGGGCTTAGTTGACCCCAGAGCAAGTAAAACACCCGTCAGTGTTCTACCAATCTCTACGTCTCCAAACAACAAGTTGCCTTTGTTTTTTGCTTTCTTAACCCAGAAACTTCTCAGATGGACTAGTTTGTTTCCAAGTTTCTCAAGGGACTCACCGAGTGAGACTCTACACAACGCATGTTCAAGGCGATCTGGATGAGGGGCTGAAAAAGAGTCATCCTCTGCAATGCGAACTGGAGGGTTGAAAGGGGTTTGGGGCGCCACCACATCATTATCCAAACCTTCCAGCTCAATAGGAGCAGATGCTACTCCTACTGGCCACTCCCTTTTGGGTTCCGAATCAAGGGACACCATGAAATAATATGTCCCTCAGTGCCACACTTGAGGCACTGATGATTGTCCATTTGATCCTGCCACATCTTCTGGGTTATGCCGTTTCTCCCGACTTCCTCGAAGGTATGCCAAAATGTTATAGAAAGGAGCGTAACCTCTTCTTCCATACTTCTCCATTGTCAGTGCCTCCCTTGTTAAACACCATAGCAGTTACGTCACTATTTCCCGACTCACCGCCACTACTAGTTTCACCCTCGATTTTCTCGAGGGGCCACCTCTCCCTCGTCTCGTCATAAAAAACGACAAGGAGGTGATCCGGTTGTTTGTGTCTCCATACAATTCTTTTCCCGTTCCCACTTGATTCCCCCCCCCTACACTAACATACGAGCCTTTGACCTGGCCGATTATTTTCTCTCCCTAAAGAGCAAGGTCTCAAAATTGCCAATAATTATACTTCTCTCACTTTGCCTCGGCCACAAGTTGATCCCTTGTCGGTTAAGCAAAGCGCGTAAAAAGATGTACAATACCTGCAGCAGACGATCAACTTCTCGAGACAAAGTATCCACAATGGTCCAACACGTTTGCCCTGTCGTGGTTAGTTCGTAGAGGCCTTGTCGATGACCGTTTTGTCGAGGAATCTCTCCTTTATTTTCTGAAAAAATTACCGCAGGGTCATTGTCTTTGCACAGTCGCCGATGTCTTCGAAGCCAATAGCGTTGGCCTCAGACAACACTCACGCCTTGGCAACTTTCCCAAGGCAAGAAGTGGAGAACGCCACTTGACTTTCTTCAGCAACAAGGGTGGTCGAACAATACGTTTGAATCTCCACAATCCAAACCAACGAATGCTCTCCTTTCTTTCCATTGCAAGTGAAAGGCAATTTCATTTTCACCTTTTCTTTCCTCTTCAGTTTCTCCCATTCATCTTCTTACTTTGTCGTTCCATTTTTGGGGGATTCTGTTTCTTTGGGTGTACGGGGTTTCATGACGTCCTTCATCAATTTCTCCTGTGATTTTTGCTTCTTCTTCTTCTCTCTCTTCTTGCACCACCTTCTTCTTTCCTTTCACAAGTCTGGTCACCGTCTGGAGTTTGGCGGTGACGTAATTGATTTTGTTCCTCAGATGTGATAGGCCACCATGTTCCCCATTACAGACGCCAAATCTTCTTCTTTTATTTTATTTTATTTTTCGGACGCCAAATCAGTTCCGAACCAATATTAGTTTTTTGTTTTATTTCTTTGACCTTTCTTTCTTGCGTTTTTTTCTCTTTTCGTTCTCTGATAGGCTTGCTTCTTCTTTATCTCTGCTTCCAATGCATCTTGCAGTTGCTTAATGGTGACATCCATGATCTCTTCACTCAGTTCTGGTTCTTCTTTCTTGTCACTTGGTTCCCCCTTCTATTCCTCTTTGATTTCGTGCCCGACTATCTTCGCAAACTGTTCGGCAACAAAATGATTGAGGCTCAAACGAGCTGGATCAACAGTCTGTTGCACGCATCCATTGGTTTCCAGCATCTCAACAACAGTTTCAATCTTCAATAGTTTGTCCTCTGCGGCACGCAGATCAAACTGATTGCGTACATGCTGTTCAGTGTCTGGATCAGCGTCGTGCAACTTTGTGATCAGTTGGCGAAGACGGTCCAACATTCGCTGCCATTTGTCATCAATTTGTCGTCTTGTTCTCAACACTTCTTTTTCTTGATCAGGGAAGAAATTGAAAGAGATGGGGAAGAAAATATGAGGGATGAACCTAGTCAGGATGAATGTCGACAACCAAGTCTTAAGGCAAGCCATTTTTGCAAATGAGAATGTCGCACAACGAACTTAAAAAGTCAGTTGTAGATTCCACAGCCTCACCACAAAGGAATTTTCAATAATATAGCAAGAAATGAAGAAATACAATAATTAAATGCAGAATTTGAATTTCTCAAAATTTCTAAATCTATTATCTTCTAGTTTTTGACTGATGATGTTCGACTCCAAGAGACTGTTCAGGTTCTGCAGCCACAGCCAGTGAGATCAAACCAACATAAAGAATGGTGAGACTGCAACCATCCATACGACAACCCAAGACAAGTACACAAAGTCAATCAGCAACACCGAACCAAGCAAGTGCTGCTCTCCTTTGCTGTCTTTCTTGCAGATAGCTGTATGACCAGACACATGCCCTGACACGTGGCACTATGGCGTATTCTAGTGCTGTACCGCACGCCAGGTCACACACGTGCAAGGTATTGTCCACACTAGTCTCTCTTTCTGCTTCATTTTTTGCCACGTTGGCGTCATGGGGCCATCTATAGGCCACGTCAGTGATGGAGTACTACTTGGAGCACGTGGGCAGTGGAATACCGCTCAGGACCGTATTTGCTCACCGGAATGTCGCATCAACCTGTGTTACTCGATGCCACTTCAGCAAGGTGCCGTGTCACTGGAGGTACCTCGCAACACTAAGAAAATGCCACGTCATCCTATGTACCTCGCCGTTTCTTTAGGAAGGTGTCACGCCAGCCCCTACGTGCGCTGCCACCTCAGTAGGCAGCGTGACATGTCAACAAGAAACACCTCTGGAGGAGGAAAGTTCAATAACGCTATCAAGCCTGCCACGTCAGCAAGCCACTACCAGCGTCAACGCCGAAGGAATGTCCATGTCAGCAGGTAAGGGCCTTCTCTCCTCCCCCTTCCACATCAGCAAATGTCTCGCCAGTCTCTTCCCCGGTGCCACATCAGCAAATCTCTCGCCAACAGGGCACCCATGCTTCATCAAGTGCACTTCCTCCTCAAGCGCACTTCCTCCTCGAGCGCACTTCCTCCTTGTGCATCTCCCTCACTCGCCACCTCAACAATACAGTTCTCCCCTGAAGATCTCTGACATATACAACGAACAGGTCGCAACAGGGCGCCCATGCTCCATCCACGTCAGCAGCAATCAAGGAGGATGGTGCAGATCTTCCTCTTGGAAATGAGCAGCGAAGCACAAGCGACATCACAGGTAATTCCAGGTAAGCTTCTCCTCATCACACACACCAATCTCACAGTTTGGATCCTCCTCCTCGCCCACACTCCTATCAATGTCAAAATCAATGTGGCTATGGCCACGTCAACATAATCTCCCTCAAGGCTGGTGCCCACATTCTGAACCTGGCGCCAACATAAACCTCCAGCAGCCTTGCATCTTCGCACCAGCAACAAGCCAGCGCAAGGCCGTATGCGCAAGGAGAATGCTCTCCAAGCAGGGACTGGATCAACTTATAGTGTTGACTCACGTTGACCAGCCTCTGGTCTCCAGGGGTTGACGCCCCAGATCAATCAGAAGCCAATGGCCTGGATGCTGCACAGTTAGATCTCCCACGTGTCCCACTTGGACCGGATTCTTCTGGATACCTGCAGACAACCAATAATGTGCATCTGATCTGCAGCCATGGCTGACCAGCGGGTTGACTTTGACTACCGGGCCTGGACTCCCGTGATGGGGTTGACTGTTGACTTTCTCAAAGTCAACTGTTCCTCGTAGGGCCTCTGAGTGCTGATTCTGGGCCTGCCCTTGGTACACCTTCGCCTCAGGCCTTTGCCCTTAGACTTGGGGCATGACTTTTGACCCTTGTTTCGGGCATTTGACCAAAAGTGACGACCTAGAGCCCACGGCTCATGCAAATCTGAGCCGAGTTATGGCACTTAGGAGGATGAGATCCGTTATGTGGCACTGGAGTTGGCACTGGAGTTAATCCTGCTTATAATAAGACATCCTGCTTGTAAACCATGTAAGGCCGAAGGCTTATGTGTGATTGGGTGCCTGCATCTGTGTGGGTGTAGATGTTGAATGGGGGTATAACTGACAGGACTGCCAGAAGCTCTGGCTTATTGCACAGGCATATCAAAGAATGGATAAAACCAGATACAGACTCAGTTCACTGCATCACTTCAGTTGCTTTCCCTCGTTCCCTGATCTGGTGGTCGCACTGTTAAATCTGATAACAGGAAAAGAAGAGAACAAAAGGTAGCGTACAAGTCATACAAGAGGGAAGCAGATCTTCTGCATCCTCCATGGTGCAACGGACAGATGGGATCGGTGAATGAAAGGGGGGTAAAGATGGGCGAGCGCCGAGCACACAAAAAAAAAGGGCTATCAAGATGGGTCGCGACACAAAGGTAGGGGATAGCGGGGGGGTGGGAAGGGAAGGATATCTGAGGGTAGCAATCGTTTTTTTTTTTTTTTTTTTGGTGGATAAATGACCAGCCTCAGCTTACTAGCGGGAGTGTAGGAATCGATAGGTTCAATGAGTTCTCTCTCTCTCCGTTTTCAATTTCTCGTACTTTGTGTTGAGAACCAAAATGGTCTGAGAAGCAGGTTTAGTACCGGGTTAGTTTGTTCAAAACAGCCAGCGCAATCACCGAGTCTGTCCCGTGGGCAGCAGGGGGAGAAGGATGTGAAGTCTCGAGGGGGTAGAAGAGGGGGAGACGTGGAGAGTCACATCGGCGGTAGATAGCCTTACTACTCTCTCTTTTCCTCCTCATGCTTCCAGTTCTCGCTGATGGGCTTGGTTGACCACAGCTGGAGAGCCTGGCGAGTTGTCTTTACAGCCTACAAACCCTACACAGATCCATACTTGGAAAACTAAGCAAGCATTAAGGACAAGCGGGATGCATAAGAAAAGTTTTCCTCCTCCCTCATCCCCCCTCCTCCTCCTCCTCCTCCTCATGATCACCATCATAGTCGCAAACCTTGCTGCGCACAAGTTACTAATACCTGGTGAGATGGCTGGCCATGATCAGAACAATTCACACACCTGCCCCAGATACCCTCCTCTTCCCCAATATCTGTTCGGTAACGTCGGTCTGAACCAACAAGCCAAGTTGTTAATCCTCAACCAATCACAGCATTGGGAGATTCAAAATACCTCATCCCATAGCTCTATTAAAAATCTCTGTCGCACAGGTAGAGGTCACCTATACCACCTGTAATAGAGACCACCCATACCTGGAACAAGGGACAGCCAGTATGCATTAAGCCTGGAATAGAGCTGTGACAGACCTGGAACGGACCTGGAACAAGGGACAGCCTGCATGCTTGCAACAGAGAAATGAATGCCTGGAACATACCTGGAGCAAGGGAAAATTCAATGCCTCAAATAAAGATAAGTCATGCCGGGAACGAACCCAGAACAAGAGACAGCCCGTGCCCCGGGAACAGGGACATCTAATGCGTGGAACAGAGAGTTAGTAGACCTGCTGGCACGTTTTATTTTTAGCAGATGCATGCCATAAGGAGCAATCTTGGAAACTGGACTGTCTGGCGCAAAGAGGAGGTGCTGCCTGTCTTAGAACAGCAATCCTAGAGCTGCTTGCTCCGAAAACCCTGTGAATCTCTCCATTGGGACCGTCCCACTGTGGCATCCCACTGTGGGAAACAAGTCCCCCGTGGAAAACAGGAAGAATTGCAACAGCAGCATTGCACAGGGCAGTCAGAAAAAAGGAACTTCCACAAACACTCAGGAATGTTGGCCTGCACGACGTGGGGGCGCGCGCGCGCGCGCGCGAGAGAGAGAGAGAGAGAGAGAGAGAGAGAGAGAGAGAGAGAGAGAGAGAGAGAGAGAGAGAGAGAGAGAGAGNAGAGAGAGAGAGAGAGAGAGAGAGAGAGAGAGAGAGAGAGAGAGAGAGAGAGAGAGAGAGAGAGAGAGAGAGAGGAGAAGAGGAGAGGCAACCTTACTCGGCATTCAGTAGGAAACATGCTGTTGGGCAGCATCCCTGACCTACCTCTCTCCTATCTACAAGGGCGGGACAACCTCCACAATCGGAAGGCCTGTTGCTGCCGCTAATCCACCTTGACCAAAAGGTGTGCGTGGGCTTGTCAATGCAGCGACCAATGAAGGGCCAAAGGAACTTGATCTTGGCGTTGCTCTTGGAGTCGCCTGTTGTGATGGCGGTAAGGACCCAACAGGCTGCGGGACCCGTGCTGTTGCAGTTGCGAGTGCCTGCCTCACCAGGATTCGGTTCCATTTCTGGACAAGCAACGGCAATGAAGGACGACCATATTGCTGCAAACAAGCACGTGCAACCCCCCTCCCCCCCGCAAACATACATATACACACACGCCCACACACACACACACACACAAAAAAAAAAAAAAAAAAAAAAAAAAAAAAAAAAAAAAAAAACACATACGCGCAGAAAGCAGATAAGCACACCACAAAATTAACCACTGACATGAGCAGGCATTCTCATGCAATCTCTCATGCAACCCCATACAGTGCATGAGCTTGTGCACATGAGAAAACATTGCAGGTGAGAGGCAAAGGCAGATTGTAATGCAATGGTCCAAAGCAAGGCGCAACTGCTGCTAAGACACAACAACCAACTCTGAGGAGTCTGAGCAGCTGAGCAATCAGAAGACGCTACTCTCTTTTGCTATTGCGGATACTCCACAGCTATCAATATTTGCCTTGCTCTCGCACACAGATGTATCATCAGCAAGTTGCAAACACCAAGTGGTCCGTTCCACCAAGAGTCCACTCCATGGAGAGTGACGATATTCACTGCAATCTATGGTTACAGAAGCATTTTAATGAAATCCTTGATTCCTTGACAAATGAAAGTTCTCCAGCTGGAATCCTACGTCACGATGATGAGGCCATTTGGTGGAACCAACCAGTCACACAGATTTGCATCGTCATAGACTCACAGGATGCCCTCATCACAGTCTCATCATCATGGACTTGCTCCTGTCACACACATTCTCATCATCCGAGACGTTCTCTCATCATGCCGAGTGGTCATTGCACCATCATCACAAGCTGTCACTATCACACATGTACTTATCAGTTGCAGCCCCCGCACTCAGATGCCACACACAGATGCCACACACACATGCCACACACAGATGCCGCACACAGATGACACACAGATAGCTTGTCACCTGTGCGTGACAAGAGCGGGCCAATCTGATCTGATTGTTTACAGACGTCACAGACATTGTCGCACCAAGGGCCTAGCTCAGTTGCTACACATGTGAGCTGTTGAAATACAGACCTGAGTTCGAATCTAAAAGAACACAAAAAATTCACACTCAGATTCTGATCGTTGTTATCATCAGCACAGAAAGGTTCTCATCGTCATGACATTCTCACACAGGTGCCGGTCGTTAACGCCACGCACGGATTGATTGTTGCCTGTGTGTGTGACAAGAGTGAGTGAATAGACCAAACGTTGTGACTGAAATTAGGATTGTTGCATTCCCATTGTAACACAACCATTCTCTAGCATCAGAGGGTTCACAATTGCCACACATATTCTGATGCTTAAATCGTGGTCACACAAATGACACACCAGACTTCAATCATTGTATTGCTTTGTCAGACAGATGCCCATCACTTACCGTGCCTTGTCACACATAGGCTCTAATCACTGTGTAGTTTCACACACTTTCCTTTCGTCGCACAACAATATGACATGAGAGTCATGATGAGACAGAACACGTTTTTCCTTGTTGCAAACACGCAGATTGATTGCCAGAAGTGAAGAAGCGGACGACCAGAAGGCACATGGAACGAGCACCACCACTTTAGAGAAGTTTAGACATCACAAGGGCGGGTGCAATGTGGTAAAGAGTGCCTGTCACACTTGAATGCCACTTAAATGGCATGCATGCAACAAGCTCTAATTAAAGGATAAATGTAAATAGTTAAACAATGCTTTGAAAGTTGAAACCTTTTTCAAGATGATCAGAATTAGCAATGAAACAGGGACAGTGGAGGGAGCAGAGGTAAATGCTTCCCGTCCAGGAAGGACTGCATGCCGCTGTCTCAAGTTCTCTCCGGCATAATGGACGGAAGTGTGAGTAAAATTGTGCAAGGAATGCCGGACCCGGTTTCCAGCAGGATAAACTGATTTTCATATAATTCATCATGAAATTAATGTAAAAAAAGCAGAAACTAGTTACATTTATTTACCTTAGCATGCAGAGCTGCCTCCGGAAACATTCCAGTCTCCTCCCAGACTCGCTCCAGTAAGTTCTGGTCATTGAGAAAGGCGGCTGCGACGGCAGCCTCCCGTCCTTGACCTGCTGCTACGAGCGCATTGGCCAAAGCCTTGAAGACAAGACATCAACAGAAGAAAAGAAAAGAAAAAAAAACATGGTTAGTGCAAGGAATATGAGGGAGAACGATATACAGAAAACCAAGTTGCGAAATCACACAGATGTCCAAGTAGTCATGTACCAAGCAGAGAGCATACGTTACGGACTCAGCCAGGGCTCGATCCCTGGTTCGCGGGTTACCACCCGCCAGGCTGCTATTCCATTTTTTTTGAGTCTCTGATCTCAGTTCCTGACCGTTGGCGCCCTCTGCAGTGATGCCTGTTCTCAAATCCCGCCTCTGGCATTTTCGGATTTCGATACTTGGGGCCATCCGGCATTTTGGCGCCCAGGCTCGGACCTTCGATTTTCAATTCATCCCCGAGGCAAATTGCACTTCTGCCCTCGGACTCAACTTGAGTCCGGTACTTAAGACCGGACTCAAGCTGTGCTCCGGTGTGACTTACTGCGACATTGAGTTCGGGGAGTCAGTTTTCAGCCTCAGTGCTTGTGCTCCGGTGTGACTTACTGCGACATTATGTTCGGAATCCAAGATTGCCACTTTGCAACTTTGTGACTTTGCCTCTCTGTGTTTGGGTCCGTCGCGTCGAGTCGAGTCCGTGTTGCTCTCTCTCTCCCTCTCTCTCTCTCTGCCTCGCTACTCTGCCTCAGCCCTGTCACAGCATAAATTCACCAAGATTCCATCCACATGAGAGCATTACAATGAACTCATGAGCCAATGTTCAAGCCCAAAGGGCACACCAACACAGTATCCAATGTCTCTCCTACCGTATGGCGCCCAGCACCCTCCCTACTCCTACCTAGCCTACACTACTACAGCTGCATTCATGCAACAGGCTCACTTCGACTTCGAAGACCAATGTACATGGCGTCAACACCTTAGCCGACCTCCCTCATGCACCAGGTAAGTATCTTGTCTGGCCTCTGGTGAATATTCAGGCCCGCCTTCACTTACGGCAGGCGCGGGGCTTGCTGAGGGCCTCTGGCCAGAACATGTGCAGATCTGATAAGGGCCCTGCGAGGGCTCATTCCTCGCATTCCATCCCCCTTAGCTTCGAAAGTCCGCTGAGATGCTTCGTGCATGTGCCTTCCCCTTCAGTCTCCATTGTGAATCAACGATCTTCTTTAGGATCGGTATGATGCCTGAACCGCACTTGGGACTCTCTCATAAGTTTAGGCAGTCTTCCCCGGCCAGCTGGATTGGGAACAGGCATGTCTCTGTGTTCCAGTATTTCGTCAACGTGACCATCCATGGTTGGGGGCAGCATTAATATCCTTGATGGGAATTGCTGTGTCTCAGCGAAAGGTGCAAGCTTTGAAGCGTGAAACACAGTGAAACACAGGGTAAGTGTGCGAGTCACCAGGGATTCTAATCACGTACGAGGGACCATCCAAATCACTACTTTCAGATTTTTGTAAAGTTCTACTGAGAAAAAACAGATGAATAAGAGTTCACAATGTCTAAGATGCAAGGAAAATGAGCAATAGCGAGATGACAATAAGAAGATTGCACAATCACATTGAAGGCCAGATAGTATCACACTGTCCAGAAAGCAGAAATGCACCAATAAAACACCAATGAAGATTCGTAACACTGAAAACCAATGTCAATGAGAGCTTGCTCTCGCCACCACCAACATTAGTGTCCAGGTCCTATCTCCGTACTTGGCGCTCGGCGCCCAGCCTACTTCCTATACAGCTCCTCTCTGCCTACAAATTGACAATGCAACTGTTGACGTCAGCAGCCTCCGAAGTACTTGAAGATGTCGCCCATGCAGACCATCGCTAATACCAGGTATGTGCCCTCACATCATCATCATCATCATCCTTCTCTCTCTCCCTTGTCTTACTCCCACGTCTTCCCTTTTGTACACCCGAAGACCACCCCTGCGCCTCACTGTACAACCAACCCCAACCAGCTATGGAGGTTGGGCTATGGCGCTGCCCTTAGCAGCGCCCTGCTCCCTGCACGACCGCACGCGCTTGCACCTCGCCTCTCAGCGCCAGCAGCAGCCCACGAGTGTCCGCTTCAGCAGCGCTGCCGCTAGCATGCGAGTGCCTGAATGAGGCTGCCGATGGCGAGCTCTTTCTTATATGGAAAGAGCCTACTGGAAGCTTCTGGGCCCAGGCCAGCCTGGCTGGACTGGCCTGGGCCCAGAAGCTTCCAGTAGGCGCCAGGATGCTGCACTTGTGTTGCAGCTACTGGGTGTTACGATCCTGGCCAATTT